GGTAAAGCTTTACCTGTACCATAATAGCCCAACTCTGAAACATCATGAAACCCAATAAGATCAGGGGGCTTGAGTAGCACCTAACCACCCCCCCCCTTTTTGATTGTAAGCCGCCCTGAGTCCCCTCAGGGAAAAGGGCGGCCTATAAATTCCAATAAAATACTAAAAAAATACTAAAATCATACATTGAGGCACTCATGTGATCCACCCTATTTTATCATATTGTTAGTGACAATTGTTAAGCTAACATGGCATGTGTATATTATGGCTTAATCTGATTGGTGACCTGGATCTGACCAACCACAAATCAGGCAGCATTGGCTGGTCAGATGTTGAAGATTACTGGAAGAACAGACCCAAGTTAAATTGCAAATTCTCTCCAGCCAAGGTCCATGCCTCAGGTGTTTTCCCCATTATTAGCAAACACTTGGTTTAACACCAAGTGTAAAAGTAAATATTCTATTGCAATGTCAGCAACTCACCCAACTGTTGTCTCTAGCCTGCTGTATGAATCCTGCCAATAAGTAGTTTTCTGTGTGGGCTGAGGACACCACTTTTAAAACATATTTGTTTATTTAAGGGTCCAGCTGGGAATGGATGCTTGTTAAATTAACAACTTTTACATGCCTATAGTACCAAAAGGTATTCTTAATTACATTCTCATGCCAGACATGCTTAAGAGCTCGAAGCATTGTTAGAGACCCCACCACCCACTTCATAGTCTGTTTCTGTTACTCCCCTCTGGGAGGAGGTTCCGAAGAATTTCTAGCAGGAGTACCAGATTCTGTAACAGCTTCGTTCCCTGTGCCATCTGGTAAACACAAAAGGTTTCTCTCTCCATGTACATATCTGAACTAGACTGTGTGGTTTCTCCGTGTCATATATGCGAGTATATGTATAATGTTGTATTTATTTTGTCATGTTTGTGTAGTATATATTAGAGGTTGAGATCCTTTGCATGCAACGAAATTTCATTTTAATGTATGCCGATTAGTGTACATTCAAAGTGACAATAAAGTTATTCTAAGTTTAAGTCTAAGACTTAAGGCCCATTGGGATTTTTCAAAACATTAAGTGAGCAAAGATCCTTTTTCAAAAGGCAACTGGATTTTCTTCATTTTTTTCCTTGAAGACGTTTCGCTTCTCATCCAAGTAGCTTCTTCAGTTCTGCATCCAAAGCTTCATGGATGAGAAGCGAAACTTCTTCAAGAAAAACCAAAGAAAGTCCAATTGCCTTTTGAAAAAAAGCACTTGGATAACAGAATCTCCATAGACATTAAGCGAGGAACCTCTGTAAAAACGGTAAAGTTAGGGTGCTACCGCTGCCGCCCAAGGAGGGTGCGTGCGCTCCTTCTTTTGTTCCTTTGCAAATCGAGGGCGCAGAAGAGCGAAGACTTCGGATAAGCTCTCAGAAAAAAAAGTGAAGCCTCCTTCATCCCAACCAACTTCAAAGGGAGGGTAGGCGTCCTTCTCCTTCTGTTCCCTCCCGCCTCCCACGCTGGCGTCCCTTTACTCTCCCTCGCCGAGACCGTGCCCGGCTTCTGGCCGCTTAGACCCGCTTTCCTTTTTCGCCGTCCGACTGAGAGGACGGAACTGCAAGGGGAAGAGGAAAAGCTACGAGCAGGGAGGAGAGGCGGAGTTCGCCCTTTGTGACGCCACCGCGATCTCGCCTCCACTCCCCTCCCCGGCTTCCCCGCCCCCCCCGCTCCCCACCATTGCTCCCTCCCCCCTCTTTTTTTTGGTGCGTTTTGTTAATGAAAAACTGTCCCGCGCTCCGCCCCAGCGCGCGCATGCTCGCCGTCAATTGCCCAGCCGAGGAGTTTCTGCGTCCGGCGCGCGCTTGCTCGTTCTCCGCCTAGCTCTCCTCCCGGCTTTCTTAGCCACTGCCCAGTCTGCGCTCCCCACCTCCCCTCCCCCGCCCCCCACCGGCACCACGCGCGCGGGCGCGC